CGGGAGAGCAGCGGGGTGGCCGCGTTAGTGCCCCGCGCCAGCTCGGTGGACGCAGAGCTGCCCTTGCCCGAGTCCGGCCCTGACAGCAAAGCCCTGGTCTGGCCCTGAGGTCGGAGAGCACGGAGGCTGCTGGGGAAGCGGAGAAACCGGGTGCCCGAATGGGCTCCTCGTCGCGTAGTACTCTGTAATGCCTTAAAATAGGTATTTTGCAGTGAAATGGCCATTTTTAATGTAGGAATAAAGTTGCTTCCTCTGACTTATTCTGTGTGGCACATATGGAAGTAGCAGTGTCAGTAAGTCTCCTAACTGTGATGGTAGAGCGGTAAACCTGCTGGGTTTGTCCGTAAGAACTTTCTGTATTGTGTAATTGCTTGGTTTTCATATCATTGTCCCGTGGTCCTCCTCCTCCTTTACCTGATCCACTCAGTGATCTGTGAGGGTCAGGTCCTGCATTTGCTTTTTTTTTTTACTTTTTTAAAAGCAGAGATAGTAATACTTAGTGGTGTCCTGGGGATTTAATTGCTTGCTGAGAAACTGAAGTTGAAAAGCACTATTACACACCAGTAAAAACAATGGCTAATTCCATCCAAGCATCTGCATTTTACTTACATGAGCGTATTTTAAACTATTACTTTGGTTAAAAATCTTTTGTCCCAGCAAAGGGTTCTTTTGCCACCAAGAACCTTGAACTTGACTTCGAGCTAAGACACAAGGCTCTCAAGTTCTCACTTGTTTAAAAACATTAGATTTCATGTTGAACAAATATTTGTTGTATACTATTTTTTATTGCTTTAAACCATAATAAGTACCTTCAGAAATTAATATTTGTTTAGGAGATAAATAAATATGTTTTTGAATTCTTCTGGATAACTGTTATACTTCTTTTTACTTTTAGAGTATGAAGCAGAACAGCCTCAATTTCCAGATGTCCCTGAATCAAAACATGGATCTGTGAGTATTGTTCAAGTAAAAAATCTGCATAGGGCTGGTTTTAAAAGATTTTGAATAACTAAATGGGAAAATTAGGTACCCGCAGAGTAGACTCTTTCATAAAATGAAAACAAAACTGCGTTCTGCAAACAAGTTCTGTAAATCAACAAATGTAACATTGCAAATATTTGCTTTTATTTAAAGCAAGTTGGGTAGCGCTATCCTAAAATTAGACCACCAGCTGTGTTTGGCTTGTACATCTTGCTGTCTTTTTTCTGTGAGTGTCTGCTTCGTAGGCAAGACTCCAAGCGTGCGAGGATCTCCTTCGCGTGGTGGTGCGAGCAGGCTGAGCACTGGAACACGGGGGAGGCGAGCAGCTGCGGCAAAGGGGTTGTGCCCCAGTTTCACATAGGTGATAGGTCCCTTCCATGTGGCCACTGAAATCGGTGGAATTAAACTTAATCAAAGTTGTTTGAAATCTTATTTTGACCAAATAAAGTCAGTCTGGGAAGACTTGTTTGGCAGACTTAAAAACTCAAGAAGGACAGACCACTTTAAATCTTTGTCCCAGGCAGTTCTAGGAGCAGCAAAATTAGTTCTTCTGGGCATCACATACAGAGTTAACTTTCATTTAGATTAGGCATTTTTGTAGATGTTTTATTATTCTGTATTTAGGTTACTTTGTTATTTTATAACTGTTTTAAGATGTTGCAGTTTAAGTTGTCTGACAGTTGGTTTGTTTAGACCTATCCTGTTTTCCCAAATGAAAATGGCTTTATTACAGGCTTTTATTAAAATTGAATAGTGAACTCTGCTTGGGGCATTAGTCTGGGCATAATATATTTGAGCATCAAAATGAAATGATATACCTTTTTATGTTGATGCACCTTTTTTTTTTAATTTCCAAAAGCATCATTTTTTGAGTCTTGCATATATTAAAAAGGAGTCACAGAACCACAGAATGTTCAGGGTTGGAAGGGACCTCTGTGGGTCAGCTAGTCCAAGCCCCCTGCCGAAGCAGGGTCACCTACAGCAGGCTGCACAGGACCTTGTCCAGGCGGGTCTTGAATATCTCCAGAGAAGGAGACTCCACAATCCCTCAGGGCAGCCTGTTTCAGTGCTCCGTCACCATCAGAGGGACTAAGTTCTTCCTCATGTTCAGACTGAACTTCCTGTGCTTCAGTTTGTGCCCGTTGCCCCTTGTCCTGTCGCTGGGCACCACTAAAAAGAGTCTGGCCCCATCCTCCTGACACCCACCCTTCAGATATTTATAGGCATTTATAAGGTCCCCTCTCAGCCTTGTCTTCTTCAGGCTAAACAAGCCCAGCTCCCTCATCCTTTCCTCATAGGAGAGATGCTCCAGTCCCCTCATCATCCTTGTAGCCCTCCACTGGACTCTCTCCAGTGGCTCCTCATCTTTCTTGAACTGAGGAGAAATGCAGTTGATTAGAAGTGTAGTGGCCTGATCCCACCACCTGCTTTTCAGTAGCTCATAAATCCAACTGAATTTTAAAGTGAAATTGTTCAGATGACATAGTTTTCATAACGTATTTTCATAGCACACCGTAATGGTGGTGCATTCTTGAGGATAACGGAGGTATCTGCCTTTCTGTGACAGGTGTAGCTCAGTGTCTGTTAGGACTAATCTGCGGGCTCACTGTAACAGTTCCTGCACTTGTAAAAACTATACATAAAATTGTGGACTATTTTTTTTCATTATATCCATGATTGTTTCTGCTCGGGGAAACTTAAGATTTGGATTTGCGTCTGCTCTGAATTTGCCTGTTTGTGCTTTTTTTGGACAGAAAGTTTCTCTTCTTGAAAAGGTGAGTGTCAGGACTTCTGAACAATACAGAAGCAAATATATAAACATCTGAGTGGAAAAATGCTTATTCAGAAAATGTTACAAATTTCAATTTTCAAACAATTACTATTTCTTACAATGGCTACAATATTTTTTAAATTGTGATAGCTCACCATAGTCTCTTAAAAGCAGTCATACACCTTCTGTTAGGTTTGGATGTTTTTATTGTGCTGGAAACTGCAGAATTTTTTAAAGTGTAATTCTTTCTTTTAAAGTACTCAGAAAATATGGAAATAATATAAAATTTGAATTAGAAATTATAATTCCATATTTATTTAGCTGACCTTATAATTTTTCCTGTTGAATTGGCTTCTATTTTTTTTTACAGTCTGATTTGCGTATTTGTGTAGGTTACATTTATCTTGAACAGGTGTCTTTGGAAGCAGGAATATTGCAGCCATTTCGTATGGGTATGGAACAATTTTATTCAGCCCCTGCATCTGATACTGTTTTCCAACAGTTGCTTCCCATAGCTGAGGCAGCCCCATTTGCAGAACCACCTGATCCAAAAACATGTAAGTAGGAGTATACTATCTTGAACCCTGCTGTGAGTATTTTTCTTGCATTTGGCAAGGGTTTGTCATTTGTTGAATTCAAAGTGTTAACAGCTACAACACCTTTTCTTAAGTGGAATTTGGATGATTAGTCCCCTGGTCTGTAAACAGGGAACCAGCTTGGCCTCTTGGCCAGTGGAGGAAAGCTCAAATGGTGCATTACAAATCAGGAGCATTGTCTAGCTGTTACAGTAGTTCTGTTCTTTTCTGAATAAGTGACTTTTTATTTAGCCACTTAAATCAGAGAAAGACAAGCATTTCTTCCTCTAATTTAATAATGCAAAACTAGGATCAATAGACTAAATAGACAATGGAGTTTGAAAACTGCTTTCAAAATATAATCTTTGCCGGTCTGATTACAAATTAGAATGGAAACAGCGCTAAAAGGTTTGTTCTTCCATTTTAATCTATTTCTGTACTTTATAAAATTTACCAAATAGCAATGTATTTATATTATGCATGTTAGCGCTCCTTTTTGTCTTTTCTTCTCTTCCATTCATTCTTGCTCATTAGGAATTCCTGTTGCTAGTCAGAAGCAGTGTCACCCTTGGCTTTTATATATAAAACAATTTCTGGCAGTATACGAAACAATTAAAGGTATAAAGCAGAGAATAAATTCAGGGTGTCACCTGTGTTGCCATAAGAGGACACTTCTGTGACGTAATCTTTACTGACCACACCAAAACCTGAATACTTGTGCGACTTCACGCAAAGGCAGTGCAGTTAAACATAAAAGAGAGATGCCAACCCAGACAGCTTCTCAAGGTGGAAAAATTCAGTATATGAAGTCATGTTCAAATTTCTGAAGAATCTGGCAAGTAGGAAGTAATTATGAGAAAGAAATCACAGCACCACTGAAATATAACCTTTGTTTTTCCCTCTGTCGAGAAATTTGGTTTTATGACCAACTCTGTTACTGCAGGTTGTAAATGGTGTGAGGATAGGTACCAAAAGTGGTCTAGCTGTAACAGCACCAAGTTCAGCGCAGGCTAATTTACTTACCTTTCTGTCAGGGTAATTTAGTACACATTGCTTTTCATTTCCGTGGCTAAACTGCTGCCAGTGTCTGAGTTTACTTATTTAAAACGAAGTGTGACATATCTGAGTCACGCTGTAGTTTACAGTGTTGCTGCACCTTTAGTCTGAAATTTACTCAAGTTCATGTTGTCTTGGCTGAAGAGAAGACGGATCTGTAGCTGTATTTGAACTGAATGAATCTGTTCAAGTGGTGATGGTGTTGATAAAATGACTGATACTTAGTTTATGATATCCAATGTTTGTCTTTTTGTGAAATCTGAGTGCTTACCTGTAAGTGAAGGCTGCACTGTTTTGCTCAGGTTGTCCTGAAGAATACTTAGAGTATTACATATTTCCAGTACTCTTACCCGGAATGGCTGAACTTCTGCATCAAGCAAAGAAGGAAAAGTGTTTTGAGGTTAGTTTTTAGATTTCAGTTCAAACCATTGGCAGGAAGTTACAGCCCAGCCTTTTATTTCACAGCCAGTATTTATTTGGTCTTTTGCAAGAAAACCAACCACAATTATATGAAATAATGTATCATGAGTTGTTTTGGATCTGGTCTTGAATGTTGTTTTCTCCAGTAATTCAGAACAGATTGCATACTACACACACTTGATCGTTATGACAATCTCTAACTCAGAACAAATCCTCCTTAAATATCTAGTTGTATCTAGCCTAAATAGTGCTGTATTCTAGAGAAACAGACTTTCTTTCAGATTGATACGCATCACTCATTTGAGGATGATGTAAAGAACTTGAATTTTACTTTGTTACTCGCTTATTTTTGCTGATATGGCACCCTAATAGAGGTACATTTTGTATTTTAGCTTTTTAACATTCTGTATAAATTTCATTTAATTGGATAGCAGGGTATTCAACATTAATGAGCTTATCAAAATGGTATATTTTAAAAATCATTATTTGCTACATGTATTTTTATAAATTTATAAATTTGTTTTCAGTGTACATGTGCATAAACTTATCTAGAGAGACATTCCTCAATTTATATAGGCAGTACTTAAAAAAACAGTAGAAGTGGTGCAAAATGAATCTTATTGTATCACCATAGCCTAACTCACAGACCCCCAGCAATGGATTAGGTACTGGGAGTTGTGAGGTCTTCTATCATTTCTGCTGTTTTCTCCAATCATGGAAGCAATTTTTTTTTTTGGTTTCTTTTCTACTTTCTGCCTGTCATCCACACTTTTCAATGTAAAACTCCTCTATAGTTTTATGCCTGCAGCTGAGCCTCCTCTTAAATGCAGCTTCATAATATAAAGAGTAATTAATATAAATGACAATGAAAATATCTCCCTTTTTCTACATGATACACATGTGAGGAATACAGTCTGTGCTTTAGGGGTTGTAGATTAAAATGATAGCAAAGCGAGGAGGACTTTGTGTTACTAGTGGGTTATTGATCATCTTGGGTCTTGATCTACTTCCTCTCCAGCTACTGACATTGACTTCCTGTTGTAGGCCTGTGTATATATGCTATCAGACATTGTGGAACGATTTGTAAAAATTGTATGTGTGGTGTTTGGCACTGACCTGGCACATCCAAAAATACACAAAGTTTAACGTGCTTGAATGAGCACCCCAAACTTGCATTTCAAATCCAAATCTGTACATTTATTAACAGTAAGTTATTTCGATTTTTGCTCAGTCTTCTCAAGATTTGTGTGTGCCTGTAAACTGACTGATTTATAGATGTGTGTATATAAGGAGCTTCTAGCGGAGATCAGGCAGAAGAGAAAGGTCCATGGAATGTGGAAAGAGGGACAGGCCACTTGGGAAGAGTACAGAAACGTGGTGAGAGCATGCAGGGATGCGACGAGGAAGGCCAAGGCTCACCTGGAATTGAAGCTGGCAAGGGATGTAAAAAACAACAAGAGGGGCTTCTTCAACTACATCAGCAGCAAAAGGAAGGCTAGGGACAACGTGGGGCCGCTGCTGAATGAGGCGGGTGTCCTGGTGACGGAGGATGCGGAGAAGGCAGAGCTAATGAATGCCTTCTTTGCTTCAGTCTTCAGTGCTAAGACTGGCCCTCAGGAATCCCAGGCCCCGGAGGTAAGAGAGGAAGCCTACAAAGAGGACGACTTTCCCTTGGTCGAGGAGGACTGTGTGAGGGATCATTTAAGTGATCTGGACGTCCACAAATCCATGGGTCCCAATGGAATGCACCCACGAGTGCTGAGAGAGCTGGCGGATGTCATGGATTCACCAAGGGGAAATCATGCCTGACCAATCTAATAGCTTTCTACGATGACATGACTGGCTGTGTAGACGAAGGGAGAGCCGTGGATGTTGTCTACCTGGACTTCAGCAAGGCTTTCGACACAGTCTCCCATGATATCCTCCTAGGGAAGCTGAGGAAGTGTGGGCTGGATGAGTGGTCGGTGAAGTGGATAGAGAACTGGCTGAATGGCAGAACTCAGAGGGTTGTCATCAGCGGCACTGAGTCTAGTTGGAGGCTGGTAACAAGTGGTGTCCCCCAGGGGTCAGTACTGGGCCCAGTCTTGTTTAACTTCTTCATCAACAACCTGGATGAAGAGTTAGAATGTAACCTCAGCAGGTTTGCTGATGACACCAAACTGGGAGGAGTGGTAGACAC